GGGGATGACGCGGGGGCCGCTGGAGGGGCAGTGTGGGAGGGGCGCGGGGTAGAGCTGGGGGGTACATGGGGTTTGGGGAGCTGGACAGTCGGGGGAGTTTGGGCTGGGGGGCTGGCTGGGTGCACCGTGTACTGTACTGGTTGATTGGGCTGGGTCGGGGCCTGACAGCACGGGCTCAGGGCACGGGACAGGTATGTGGCACCCGACACCTGGCGCCACCCTCCCTGGGTCCTGCCCGTGGGAGATGGCCCCCTTGGCCCCCTGACCAGCCCAGTCCCTTCAGTGCAGAGTCGGGGGTCACACTCGTGGTATGGAGTTTTCTCCCCAACCCACACGCACACACCTGAGCCAGAGTACGTGGTGAGGAGGGATGAGCCACCAGGTGGGCCTTGGCCTGGGGAGGGACAGCAGCTAGGGACGGGAAGGATGTCCATCGGGTGCCAGTCGGGCGATGCTGAGGCCCAGCTGGCCCTGGGGGCACTCTGGTTGGCCGCCCCCCACTCCCTCCCCCGCTTATGCCTCCTGGCTGCTGGGTCAACCCTAAGGGGCAGGTGGCCACCGCCGGGCCCTGCCCGGGGGTTGTGGGGTGGACTGGTGCCTGGAGGCTGAGGAACAGGTGGACGACAGTGGATCAGGATGGTCCTCGGCTCCTGTCTCAGCTGGGGCTGGGCTGCCCGCCCTGGTGTTGCCTATAAGCACATCCAGTGTCACCATGCACTGCCCACCTGTGCCAACCCTGCTGGAGGCAGGAGGGCCAGAGTCCCTTTCTCTCTGAGGGGAGGCCGAGGCAAGAACACTGATTGAGACAATGAAAGGGAGAAGTTTAAAAGAGGTGCTAGGCTCCCTCAAGGTGACATCCACGGTGTGACCCGGAGGAAGCGTCCAGTGTGGCAGCGGCCAGTCACACGCTCGCCTCGCAGCCTGGGATGGCTGCTCCTGGCCCGGCTGCCCCACTACCCCAGCAGCAGAGCGGAAGTGAGGGGGCAGTTAGCTGCTCCCTCCCAGCACTGCCTAGATGTTGCACGTAGCACTTCTGCTTACTTCTCGTTATGCAGCACACTTGTGTGCGAAGCCTGGGCCTGTGCCTGGGTGAGGAACAGCGGGGGCCCAGGGCTTTGTTCTGCAGGATGCCTCCTGCATTCACTTGGCAACCGGGAGAGAAGCCAGGGAATAAGTCTTCCCTGCAGCGCACCTGCCCATACCTGTGTACATTTGCCCACACTTGCCCAGGCCTGTCCACATCTGTCCATACCTTCCCAGCGGCACACCTGTCTATACCTGCCTAGGCCTGTCCACACCGGCCTACACCCATCAACACCTGCCCATACCTGCCCACACCTGTCCACACCTGCCCTGCCTACCCCTGCCCACACCCGTACCTGTCTATACCTGCCCTGTATCACACCAGCTCACACCCATCCACACCTACCCATGTCTTCTCAAGCTCTGCTGGGAGCTGCTCTGGTGCATCTCCAAGCAGAAGGGGTCTCGCTGGAGCCCTGATCCTCCTTCCATACCCAGTAACTTCTAGGTCGTTCTGGCTGCTCTACATTCCCAAGATGAACTTTTCAATTTTTTTTTTAATTTTAAAGAGCATAAAAAAATAACAAAATAACAACATAGACAAAAGCAAAACAATACAGGCAACAATAAAAATGATACAGGATTTCAAAATAAAATGATTTTAACCGTGGTTGTTATATTACATATTGTTATCTTCAATGAAGTTGCTCAGATTACCAGATGTAAGAATGCAAGATTGATCAAACCATTAAAGAGAATAAAAAATGATTTTAAAAACCCCTTAGAAATGATACAGAGCTTCAGTAAACAAGATGGTAGGTATTTACCAATGGTTGTTATATTGCATATTGTTGCCTTCAAATTAGTTGTTTAGATTACCAGATATAAGCATGCAAAATTGGTAAAAAAAAAACAAAAACAAAAACAAAAAACCCTAAGCATTAACTGTTCCTTTCAATAAACCAACAGACATCAGCAGTACAATTACCCCAGCTATCCTTTTATATATGCTATGGTTTGTGTCTGGATGTCCCCCTAAAGCCTCATGCTGTCATGGGGTGGATACTAGAGTTTATGATTGATTCATGGTCCAATGTTGGGATCATGGGTGTGAGTGCTACACCGCCCTGGGGTGGATAGTTTGTGCACAATATAAGGCAGGCAAAGAGGCTTGTTCGCACCCCTTTTTTGCTCTTGCTGCTTTTTCTGTCTTCTGCCACCGTGAAGTGCTGCCCCTGTGCTTGCCACCCTGCCTTGGAGCCAGCTGACTATAGACTAAAACCTCCACAAACTGTGAGCTAAATAAACCTTTCCTTCCTTAATTCTGGGCATCAGGTATTTTGTCTCAGCAACAAGACAAAAGTAACCAAGACTATATATATATATATATATATTTTCCCCCCTTCCTTCTTTCTCTCCTTTCCCTCATCCCAGTTATTCCTTCCCTTTGAGCAGTTTCATTCCCTTTCACAACATCTATTGTACCTTTTGGGTTTTATTTACTGTTTCGGATTCTTACACTAGGGAGACAATACAATGTTTACAGCTATGGGTCTGATTTATCTTACTTATGAGTATGGTCTCTAGTTGCATCCATTTACCTATAAAAGCCTCAAGTTTTTCTTTTTTATAGCTAAGTAATAATTCATTATATGAAAATACTATATTTTTTGATCCATTCCTCAGCTGATGGGCATTTAGGTTGTTTCCAAGATTTAGCTATGACAAGTTTTGCTGCTATAAACATGGGTACACATATATTGCTGTGGTATGATGTTGTTTTTTTTTCTGGTACCGAGAATAGAACTCATGACCTTGCGCTTGCCAGGCAGGTGCTGTGCCACTGAGCTAAATCCCCAGCCCCCGGTATGATGTTTTAAATTCTTCTGGGAAAATAACCAGAAGGGGAATAGCTGGGTTAAGTGGGACTTCTAATCCTGGTTTTATGATGAATCTCGACACTGATTTCCACAGTGGTTTCACCAGTCTGCACTCCCACCAGCAGTGGAGAAGAGTTCCTATTTCTCCACTGCCTTATCAGCCTTTGTTATTGGTTGATTTGTTAATGATAGCCATTCTCACTGGGGTGAGATGAAATCTCAATGTTGTTTTAATTTGCATTTCTCGAATGACTAATGATGTTGAACATTTTCTCCTGTATTTATTTGCCATTTGTATTTCTTTATCTGAGAAGTGTGTGTTCATCTCAGATGCCCATTTTTGGATTGGACCTTTGAATTTTGGGGGCCTGATTTTTAAAAATTCTTTATATCTTCTAAATAAAAGTCCTTTGAGGGACAGTTGGCTAAAATTTTTTCCCAATTCATGGGTTTTCTTTTTACTCTGTTGGTGATTTCTTTCAATGTGCAAAAACTTTTCAATAAGAGGAGATTCCAGTTGTTGAATCTTTGAAGTTTTGGTTTTTGTTCATGAACTCTCTGCCTACCCGTACATCCTCAAGATTTCTACCTACTTTCTCTTCCAGTAGATTTAGTGTTCCTGTTTTAATATTTAGATCTTTGATCCATTTTTACTTTAGTGCATGGTGATGGACATGGGTCTAGTTTTAGTCTTCAACATGTGGAGGGCCAGTTTTTCCAGCACCATTTATTAAAACAGTGAACATGTTTTGCCCCTTTGTCAAAGATAAGGTGGCTGAGTGTGTTTCTAGTTGTGTCTGCATCTTCTAATCTATTCCATTGATCTTCAGGTCTATTTTTTTGCCAGTACCATGCTGATTTTATCTCTGCAGCTTTGTAGTATTATTTCAAGTCAGGGATTGTGATGCCTCCTGCCTTTCCTTTGTTGCCCAGGATTGCTTTTGCTATTCTAGGACCGTTCTGGCTCCAGATGAATTTTAGGAATGTTTTCTCTAGCTCTGTGAGGTATATTAATGGTATTTTAATTGGGATTGCATTGAATCTGTACAACAATTTCAGGAGTATGGCTTTTTTCACAATGTTGGCTCTTCTTATCCATGAGCAAGGAATATCTTTCCATTTTCTGAAATCCTCTTTGATCTCTTTTTTGAGTACTGTAATTTTTACAGATCTTTTACTTTACAGATCTTTTACTTCCCTTGTACGATTGATTCCTAAGTATTTTATTTTTTTAGATGCTATTATGAAAGGTGTGGTTTCTCTAATTTCTCTCTCAGTCTGTTTGTTGTTTGTGTACAGGAATGTCATTGATTTTTGAGTGTTGACTTTGTATCCAGCTGTGCTACTAAATATGGTTATTAATTCTATAAGTCTTTTGGTGGAGTGTTGGGGTCTTCTATGTACAGTATTATGTCATCTGCGAATAATGATAATTTTACTTCTTCCTTTCCTATCCTTATTTCTTTTATTTTTCTCTCTTGCCTAATTGCTCTGGTTAGTATTTCCAGAAATATATCAAATAGGAGTGATGACAGTGGACATACTTGTCTTGTTCCTGATTTTAAAGTGAAAGCTTTCAGTTTTTGTCCATTTAATATGGTGCTGGCTGTTGGTTTATCATAGATGGCTTTTATCAGAGTGAGGTAAAGATATCTATTCCTATTTTCTGTAGGATTTTTTAAATCATGAATGAGTGGTGGACTTTATCAAAAGCTTTTTCTGCATCTGTTGAGATGATCATGTTATTTTTGTCTTTGGTTCTATTGACATGGTATATTACATTAATTGATTTGTGTATA